TGAAATCCAGAACCAACATGATATGTGTGAGGAGCTGCTGAGAGACATTCCCTCCGACAAGCCCCCCCACACACACACACACACACACACACACACACACACACACACACACACTAAATGAGTGATGATGAGATGAGCACACCTGAAGCCAAACAGTGAGATGTGTGCTATGGATGGGATGGAGGGAGTGAAGGACAGGGTGCAAATCTGCAGGTGCGACAGGCAGGCTGACCTCTTCTTGGAGCTGCAGCCGGAGTTTGTGCTGACACCCGGAGGCATGTCACTGTAAAAGGAATCTGCGTCCCCAGGCTTTGTTACATAGTCACCTGGGGGCATTTGCCTACAAATACAGAATGACACTTTAGATGGGAGGAAACACAATCACAGGACAAATACACCTTCAAATATGAATAGTTATTTATCAACAGTTTATGACCAACAAACTATACATATGTTCCTTTTTAATAATTACATTACGGTTTTGTTGACTTTCCACAGAGTGCAATATCTGGTGGCTGTAACATAATCAAATCCTCCTATTAGTAATTTATTTCTCTATTATTTATTTCTCTGAGTATTTTTTTCTCACACAGCAGTTCTTCTGTTGTTGTTTTTTCAGTGGCAGAAAGTAATTAAGTACAGGTACTTAAGTACTGCAAATCAGTGCAATTTGGAGATACTGTATAACTTAATACTCCTCCTGCATCTCTACAGGGAAATGCCTTTTCCTTCACTACATTTATTTGACACAAATCTTTGCTGTTTCACATTTTACACACAAAACATATAAAATAACATTGCTGAGGGAACACTTACTCTTACAGCTCACCTGAGCAAACCACAGCTCTGACATTTAAAAACAATGCAACGTTGACAACAAAAAAATGTTAAAGTGAGCAAACCGGCAGAATCTTCGGTGAACCTCAGACTCCACATAGCATCTCTGCTTATAGCTCCTGTGAAGAGAAGAACAAGGATACTCAGCCTGATGATAATGGAGCTTTTGTCAGATTGCTGACTTGCGTTCACTCAAAATACTACCTGGGACCTGATTGGGACTTGGGACCAATTCAAACTATTTTTTTTGTCTTGCTTTGTCTGAACAACCATATCATTAAGGTCTCAGATTATTGTGTAATTCACAAGATGAGAGGAAAAGTCTGAATGCGCACAAATTATGTGTAGCTGAAATTGTCTTATTTCCTTTCGTTCTGATTAGTCACAACCCCTTTAGCTTTCTCGCTGCCAGCAGAGGTTGGGAGCTTCTGATTACAAACCTCACACATGCAGGCTGCAGGGACACTTACTTGTAGCACCAGGCTGTAGCAGCCATTATGAGCGCGAGGAAGAGGATGGAGCCCACGATGGCCCCGATGATGATGTTTGTACTGGTGATACCTGAGACAGAGGAAAAGGAGGACGGGAGAGGAGAGTGGGAAGCCATTTGTGTGTTAATTGGATTGTGTCATGTTTCCTGTTTCATGTGGGCACATGGGGATACAGAAACCACAAAACACTGTGGCAGGACATGAAAACACACTACAATTAGCAGGAGTAGAGTAAAAGGAGAACAAGAGGGCGTAAACTGAGAAAACATTAACCGCTGATGCCTGTCATCGCTGCTCTGAGGGGAATTTACATGTGAAGTAGGTTTTCAGGTTCACGATAACAATTTTTAAAAAAAAAGTGACAGTGGTGAGCTGAGGTGGGGGTGCGAGAGGAAAAGAGTGAGGAAATGACATCGAAGACACAACATATATAACAAACAAAAAAAAAAGAACTCAAATCTGACCTCAAGTCACTCCGTCAAAGACATCAGCCTGTCGACAAAGAATGAATGTAAAAAATAATGACGAACAGAAAGAATGACATGCATGGTTCAGTGAATGCAAAATGCTGCTGGTTTTAATGAGCACACGTGAATAGAAATAGAAAGAAAAACCTTGAAATATTAAACATATTAACATTTGAGGATCTGTGACGATGATAAAATAAGAACTGAAAGTGATAAAGTCAGGGAGACAGAGCCAAGAAGCACATATATGAAGTGCAGAGGAAAATGAATGTGAAGAAAGCAGGACGCAGACAGAGGTGTGAGCACAGAGCATCAACGCATTCACCTGAAACTGAGGCAGTCGGTCCCACCACAAGATAACTGAGCGGAGACGTGGAGTTGCAGTCGTCTCCAGCCCAGCCAAGGTAACACACACACTTCAGATCATTACTGCACACCTACAGTGGGAATATATAACAATAAGAAATTGAAAACACATCCTAAAAATCTTTAAATGTGAAAACTGTGGTGAAAAGAAAAATAAATATATTTCCAGTGCAATAAAAAGTATCACATACCTAC